GAGTACCCTGAGGATAACTGGTCTGCCTGCTAAAGACTGAGGCAAAGTAGGCATTAAGTACCTCAGCCTTTTCCTCATCCTCGGTGACAATGTTCCCCCCCGCATCCAATAAAGGATGGAGATTCTCCTTGGCTCTCTTCTTGTCATTAATGTATTTGTAAAAACTTTTTTTGTTGTCTTTAACGACAGCGGCCAGGTTGCGTTCTAGCTGGGCTTTTGCCTTTCTCATTTCCTCTCTGCACGACCTAACGAGATCCCTGTACTCTTCTTGAGTCGCCTGCCCCTTCTTCCACAAGCAGTAAACTCTCCTTTTTTTCCTGAGTCCCAGCAAAAGCTCCCCGTTCAGCCAGGCCGGTCGTCTTCCCCGCCCATTCTTCTTGCGGCATACAGGGACAGCCTGCTCCTGCACCTTTAAGACTTCAGGACTATGAAGAAAGATTTTAAGACTTTAAGACTATGCATGCTCGTATTTTATCCCCAATTTTGCATTACTCCTACCTTCCTAAGACAGCGGGTATGACCTGGCTGGCCCCAGATCTAAGCCACAGAACTCAATCTAATCTCATGGCATAAAACAGAAGGAAAAGAAAATAGGAAGTTGCAGGTAACAGAAAGAAGCGACACAGTGTCATTTTTTCACACCATAAGTGAAACACAACCTCAGTTATTCTCAGCTGATACCTTCCTCTCAAAATCCTCTTGCTTCTTCCATGAACAGTTTCATTGCTTTTTACTCTGCACTTTTAGTAAAACAAGCATTAGATATACATGCCAATGACTGCACCTGTTTGCTGTTATAGAGAAGCCAGACTATGCAGAAAAAAAATAGGACTATGCCAAAAAAGAAAATTAACACCAAGTAGACAAAAAAGCGGGAGCTTTAACTAAAAAGGTGTGTTGGTGGACTCCTCAACTGCTGAACTTTTCCCTAAGGCAACAGGGCAGATCAAAGAAAGGACTAGCTTCTGCATCTATCTTCTGCTGGAACCATGACCTGCACCTTTATTCTGTTGTCAATCCATGGAAATTAACCACTTAGAAGAGTTCATTTGTAAATTGTCATTAGAACAAAATCACTTCATTTAGCACATTAAGCTACGATCATGTTTTTAAATGTGTTTTAACAAGGACATGGAACTAGAATGATTCCATGATTTCCTTTAAATTTGGCTGTTTTGTCTGTAGCATTGCCAATCTTATTTTCAAAAGTGTTTCTTGTTAAAGTTGTATGATACAACTTGTAAAAACGTATAAGCAACTGAAAGCGAGTGTTGATAATAAAAATTATGAAGCAGTTTCAATTATATGTTCAACCATCATTTTGCCTATAATAATGAGAAGTAACTGACTGGCATAGGTATTTCAGAATTTCATATAGTTCTGCTGCACAGATATATCAATTAGATCCTTCAAAGAGATGAAAACATTTTACGAACACATATAACAGGATAAAAAAAAATATGAATGCACTATAACCTGCATGCGATCACAACTAACCTTCCAAAATCCAGTTTTCCAAAGTGAAATTAAAAGACATAAGGATCATCACACAACTGAATGGATAACTAAGAAATCTTCAAGTTGATTCCGATCATATTTATTCAAGTCCATCACTTTTCTTACATATTGCTGAAAGTATAACTGGCATTTGGTGTTGATATATTGTCGTTGTTTAACCCCAGCAGGTAACTAAGCACCACACAGCCACTCACTCGCTCCCCCCCGGTGCGATGGGGGAGAAAATCAGAAGAGTTAAAGTGAGAAAACTCGTGGGCTGAGATAAAGACAGTTTAACAGGTAAAGCAAAAGCCGTGTATGCAAGCAAAGGAAAACAAGGAATTCATTTGCTACTTCCCATCGGCAGGCAGGTGTTCAGCCATCTCCTCAAAAGCAGGGCTCTGTCACACGTAACAGTTACTTGGGTAGACAAACGCCATCACTCCGAATGTCCCCCCCTTCCTCCTTCTTCCCCCAGCTTTATATGCTGAGCATGACACCATACGGTATGGAATATCCCTTTGGTCATTTGGGGTCAGCTGTCCCGGCTGTGTCCCCTCCCAACTTCTTGTGCCCCCCCCAGCCTACTCGCTGGTGGGGTGGTGTGAGAAGCAAAAAAGGCCTTGACTCTGTGTAAGCACATTCAGCAGTAATGAAAACATCCCTCTATTATCAACACTGTTTTCAGCATGAATCCAAAATGTGGCCCCATGCTAGCTACTATGAAGAAAATTAACTCTATCCCAGCCAAAATCAGCACAGTAGATACATTTTTAATTATAGACAATGAAATGTGATTTGACCAATTAACTCTTTAAGAGT